CCCCTCCAGAGCCCCAGGGGGCTCGTTTAGGTACCGTTTGGGTACCTTTTCGGACCACCCTCGCCAACCCCCCATTTATGACCCCCCCATTAATTACGCAGCGCCCAAATCGGGCCGGGCGAAAGGGGGCCGGGCGAAAGGGGGGGATAGCAAAAGGGGGGGTTTGAGAATCGGCTCACATAGCTGATTTTCTGGGCGTCTCCAGGCGCCATCACGAGCCGGCGCGGCGGCGACCTGCCTCACATTGACACAGGGCTATAGGATCCCGGGGGTGAAAAAAAAACCTGGGGGTGAAAAAAACTTTGAAATACCCAGAAACTGCAAAAAGAAAAAACATCTCCGGGGACGACTTTGGAGTATATGGTTGAACAATTTTGCAGAGTTTGGGCTTGTCCTCGAACATCCGCCTCTCGGAGGACACGCCCGACCGAAACCTTCAGCTCTTAAAACAAAACTATAGGATCGGGATAAATCGCTCCAGGGCGTTCCGGAGCGCTCTCAGAGCGTTCCGGAACGCTCTGGAGCGGCCGCGGCGTCCCATACGTCCTCCAAACCCGCCGATTCTCAGAGATTTCGAGTTATCCCGTTCCGATGTTGTCCCGATCTTCGCGTCGCTTGACACATGCCCACCACCGCCGGCAAGGCCCATGCCGGGCCCAGGAGCGGTGCACCCGGGACGCACAGAGACGTACCAGCACGACATACTTATCCTTGGAGGCGCGCGTCCGAGCCGAGCACGTGCAGTCGGGGCCTTGACCTAAGGAACCCTAAATAAGGAACGAGGCCCCATTTTTCCATAAATTAAACTTCGATTTCCGATCGAAAACCTCAGGAAAACCTGAGGCAAGCTGTGAAACAATTAAGGAACACGGAGCCCCTCCCCAGCGAAAAGGGTTCCTTGTTCAGCGCCCCGACTGTACTAGCACGATAAACTTATCCTTGGAGGCGCGCGTCCGAGTCGAACACCTAAGAGACCCATCCTGTAGCAGCTCGTTTCCCGCGCGGCGGGGCCAGAAAAGCGCCCGACCCCACGACGCATATACTGCAAGACTTCTCGGTGCGCGCGTCGCCCCTGAGGGGGCGACGCACACATAGCACTAATACGTTGGGGTGACGCCGAGTACATTGACGAGCAACGTGCATCCGCACCTGCCTGGGCAGGTTTGGGATATCGGGCCCCCATCGGCGATCCATGGGCGATTGGGGGTCGACGCATCCCCCCCTATGCCTATCCACCCCTATCGTTGCCCCTGATACATGCCTCCCTGGCTTTCAGTCGGGCCTGTCCCCCTACAGGCCGATCTTGGACGAACAATTAAAAGCAGTAAAAAACACCCCAAAGTGGTCGAACATGGTCAAGAAAAAACCTCCCCAGACGATGTTCTGACTCTTCTTTGAAACGCCCGCCCTGCAGAGGGGCAGGCCCGACCTACCCCTGGCCTGGCCGGGGGCCTCGGCGCCCAATCGCTCCTTATCATCTAGAAGTTCTATATCTTAAGATATTGTTTTACTTGTCTGGGCTGTGGTGGCTTATGTTTCAGTATTCTTGGTTTGTTTGTTTTTTTACATGCGTATGTTAAGTAAATAACCTGCAGATACAGTGCGGACGCGGTCGCAAGAAACCCTCGCAAGAAACCCAACCCTGAAAGCCCGCGCGCGCGAGGTGCAACCGAGTGGAAGCCCGGAGCACGCCGAACGCGGCAGCTCCTTCAACTGCCGCGAGAAGCCGCCGCGCAGCGCGCGGAGCGAAGAAACCCAGGGCACCCTGACGACAAGTAGATGGCTTCTTGAGGCGCGCCCCCACTGTAGCAGTCTGAAAATAATTTTTTGGAGTCCCGAAACGGTGCGGTGACAGACCGTGCGGTGACCTCGGAACCGACCTCACCGCACGGTCCGTCACCGCACGGTCTTGGGACCCTGGAGGCCCCTGTCGCCCGAGACGTCCTCGGAGAACGACCCGAGTCCCAAAACCGTGCGGTGACCCCGAATCCCCACCGACTCACCGCACGGTGTGGTCACCACCCCGTTTGGGGACCCCCGAAATTTCGAGTTTAATTAATTCCGGCCCGGGGCGGGCCTGCGGCCTTTGGGGCGGGCGCGCGGCGTGCCCCGCGCCGCCCCTGCGGGCAGGGAGGCCGCCACCCGCCCACCGCGGGCGGGCGGCGGGAGGCACAGGAGGAGGAGGAGGAGGAGGAGGAGGAGGAGGAGGTGGGAAAGAGGATGAGGGATAGGAAGTGGAGGAGGAGGAGGGATGAGTAGGCAGGATGAGGAGGAGGAGGATGAGGGCGGGAATTCTGAGGAGGAGGAGGAAACAGCGGGACAGACGAGAGGGAGGAGGATAGAGGAGGGGGAGAGGAGGAATTAGGAGGAGGAGAGGAGGAAGGAGAGCCTTCCCCGACTTCTGCGGCGAACGTACCCAGGCGGCTTCAGCCCGTCGCGGCGCTCCCCTGCGGGAGCCGGAGCCCACAAGGGCGACGCGGTGCCCCTCATCCCCAGCCCTGGCAGCCCCTCCACGACCCACCCTCCTCCCTGTCCCCCTCCGCCGCCGTCTCGTCAGGATGATCCTGCTCACGCCCACAGTCATCACCGGCGTCATCATCAGCCCCCTTCCCTTCCTCATGTTCCGTCCGCCTCCTCCCTCCTCCTCCTCCTCCTCCTCCTCCTACTACTCCCCCTCCTCCTCCTCCTCCTGCTTCCTCCTCCTCCTGCTTCCTCCTCCTCCTGCGTCCTCCTCCTACCCGTCCTCTTCCTACTGTCCGTCGTCCTCCTCTGGCCGAGCCTGTGGTACATCACGGTCGACGTGATGATCGGGACCAGACCATCCTTCGTTCTAACGGAAAACGGCGGCGAGCCCGAAGGGGCTCCAGCCCAGATCGCTGTGGTTCTTGTCGGCACATGGGTTTTCGGCCATGGTCGTATCCTGCATGGCGTACGAGGAACTTTTCATATGGCTGGCGGGGAGGGTCTCAGCGGAGATGGTCAGAATTCCCAAGGAAAAGAAGGGACTCGGCTGGTGATGCTGATCAACTCGATCATACGCGTGTGGGTTAGGTTGTCCGGGAACTGGGTCGATGCGAGCCCAGGTGCCATGATCTAAAGCAGCAGGGGCGAATTCTCTTCTTCGGCGTCGGCGTTCGCTCGAAAAAACATGCCCGAAAAACACCATCAGTCGGTGATGTTCGACACCTGGGAGTGCCTCGACACCGTGTTGCCGGGACAGCTGTTTGGGGAGGCCTGTTGTGTGCGCTACCCGTTGCGGTTGGCGTGGCAGCTGGTCTCGTGCTACCAGTGTGGTATAGGCATACGTCACGGCGCGCGTGCGCCAAAGGGTCCTGCCAGGATACACGCACGCGGCTACATTGCTGACGCTGCTGATGTATATACACTCTACCCGTATAGAAAGGACGCGCTGTAAGGAAGGATGCAAGGGCCTTGGACGCCCATGCCGAGGCTTTGAGCGGGGCTGGCTATGTCGGAAGTGGTTGAGGATGGACCGACGATGACCGAAGAAGCAATGACGCAAGGATGCCCTTGGGAAGTCGGTCATTCTTACTACTAGAGCTGACTGTACAAGACGCTGCTGCAGGTCAAAAGCATCTGCCCGATGGTTCGGCTTCGAGCGCCGGTGGACGACCAGCCTGTGCAGTGGACCGGGGAAAGGCGTCCTGGGCGAAAGGGCTTCCTCCTCCTCCTCCTCCTTCTCCTCCTCTTCCTCCTCATCCTCCTCCTCCTGCTCCTCGTCCTCGTCCTCGTCCTCGTCCTCCTCCGTCCCCTCCTCCTCCTCCTCCTCCTCCTCCTCCTCCTCCTCCTCCGCCTCCTCCTCCTCCACCTTCGCCTCCTCCTCCCCCTTCTCCCCCTCTGCTTCCTCCTCCTCCTCGCCCTTCCTCCTCCTCCTCCTCTTCCCTCCTCCTCCTCCATCCTCCTCTTCCTCTCCTCCTCCTCCTCCACCTTCACCTCCTGCCCTCCCCCCGCCCCCCTCCCCAGCCTCCTGCCACTGCACCTCCTCCTCCTCTTCTTCCTCCTCCTCTGCCTCCTGCTCCTGCACCTTCCCGCTCCCCTCCTCCTCTCCTCCTCCTCTCCTCCTCCTCGCCCCTCCCTCTCCTCCTCCTCCTCCTTCCCCTCCTCTCCTCCTCCACCTCCTCCTCCTCCTCCTTCCTCCTCCTCACCCCCTCCTCCACTCCACCTCCACCTTCTAACTCAATTCCACAACTCAACTCCTCCTCCTCCATCCTCCTCACCCTCCTCCTTCCCCTCCTCCTCCTCCGCCTCCGCCTCCGCCTCCGCCTCCGCCTCCGCAGACTTCCTCCTGAAAGTCCTGCTCCTGCTCCCTGCTCCTCCTCCCTCCCACCCTTCCGCCTCCTGCTCCTCCTAACCCCTCCTCCGCTCCTCCTGCTTCCTCCGCGCCTCCTCCTCCTTCTCCTCCTCCTCATCAGCTCCTCCTCCTCCCCCTCCTCCTCCTCCTCCTCCTCCCCCCCTTCCCTCCCTTTTTCTCCTTCTATCCGTCTTTCTCTGTTTCCTTTTCTCCCGCTCCTCCTCCTCCTCCTCCTCCTCCGCTCCTCTCTTTTCTCCTCCTCCGCCTCCTCCGTCTCCTCCTGCTCGCTCCTGCTCCTCCTGCTTCTCCTGCTCCTCCTGCTCCTGCCCTCCTCCTCCTCCTGCTCCTGCTCATACCTTCTCCTCCTTCCTCCTCCTTCTCCTCCTCCTCCACCTCCTCCGCCTCCTCCTCCTGCCTCCTCCCTCCTCCCCCCTTCTTCCTCTCCGCCCCCTGTTATCCTCCTCTTTCTCCTTTTCTTCTCCTTTCTCCTTTCTCCTTTCTCCTTCTCCTGTCTCATGTCTCCTCTCCTCATCCTCCTCCTCCTCCTCCTCCTCCTCCTCCTCCTCCTCCTCCTACCTCCTCCTCCTCCTCCTCCTCCTCCTCCTCCTCCTCCTCCTCCTCCTCCCCCTCCTTCTCTCCTCTGACCGAACATCTGGCCAACCCCCCTCGAGGCGTGGGCGGAGCCGTGTCAGCTCGAGCCGTTGGGGCGGCCCAAGACCGCGGGCCCGAGGCCTCCGTGCGGGCCCGCCGCCTCGCCCAACACGAGGGTCTCCTCGCCGCTCAGCCGCCCCTGCGCGCCCGCGGAGGTGGCCGACGGCGTGCCGCTGCGCGGTGGCTGGTTGGCTCCCGCGTCCCTGTCGCGGTCTCCTCTCGGGCGATGGCGACGGCGAGGACGAGAACGACGACGACGAGGACGGCGACGAGGTCGAGGACGAGGACGACGACGAGGACGATGGCGACGACGAATACGACTTGGTGCCTCTCCGCGGCGAACCCGGGGGGGGGGAGGTTGCGGGCAAGAGTCGTATCCATATCCAGCACGTCTTGGACATTCTTGGAAAGGGGTACCGCAAGGCCGAGGCGCACTGGATATAGACAAACATCGAGCCTTTACAGGGAGCATTATTCTTGTCCATATCCAGTGCGCCTCGGGGTTCTGGGGAGCCCGAAACTCCAAGCTGCAATTGATGTCGACACAAGTCTTACCCGCAAAGATGGGAGTATACGGTCGGGGGTTGCTATAGGGTCCCCTGGCCCAAGGTGCTCCAGCTTCTCGCTCCATTCTGGAGCCCCTCGTGATGGGGTGCTCTGGAGGCCGTGAGGCCTCCTTGGAAATCCTGGGGGCATCTTGGGAATCCTTGGGTTGGGGGCACTTCTAGCAGCACCCGCAACGGGGAGGCTGGAAGCACTAGGGGCCAGAATCACTGCGGACGGAATGGCTGGAGTCGGAGAGAATCGCGCTCGCGTGGCGCCCTCCTCCTCCTCCTCCTCCTCCTCCTCCTCCTCCTCCTCCCCCTCTTCCTCCTCCTCCTCCTCCTCCTCCTCCTCCTTCCTCTCCTCCTCCTCCTCTCCTCCTCCTCCATCCTCCTCCCCCCCCCCCCTCCTCCCCCTTATCCTCCTCCTTTCTCCTTTCTCCACCTCCTCCTCCTCCTCCTCCTCCTCCTCCTGCTCCTCCTCCTGCAAGGAGATGGCACAGAAGAAGACCACGGAGCGCTGCCGGAAGCCCAGGACATGCAGCAGACCTGGGCCTGGCCCGCGCGCGTGCTGCCAGCCGCCCCGCAGGTGGCGACGTCCGAGGCCTCCCCCACCAACCATGGACTTGGCAGCATCGACGGAAGGCGGAGGCAGGGCTCGTGTCTCTCGGCGGCGAGGCCGGAGGGGAAGAGAGGAGGAGGAGGAGGAGGAGGAGGAGGAGGAGGAGGAGGAGGAGGAGGAGGAGGAGGAGGAGGAGGAGGAGGAGGAGGAGGAGGGGGAGGGGGAGGAGGAGGAAGCAGAAGGCCTTCTCAAAAGGCTCGGAAGTCCCGGCCTCCTGGGGAGCTTTCTAAACTCCCCCCTGCCGCGTTCTGCGAAGGCCTTCTCCTCTTCCCTTCCCCCCCCCCCCCCCTCGATCGCCGCCGAACTTCGCCGCGTGCTCCATGAGTTCCGAGCCATTGCCCCTGCCGCCGATCGGGATGCCCGAGGGGTTGTTCGGCGGGAGAGAGGTTCGGATCTCGCCGCCGAGAGAGGCGGGCTCCCGCGCCCCCGTCGCGGTCTCCTCTCCTCTCGACGATGACGACGACGACGACGACGACGACGACGACGACGACGACGACGACGACGACGACGCGTCCCCGTCGCGGTCTCCTCGGCGCCCCCTGATCATCTTGGTGTCCTGCTGGGTCATCTGCTCCAAGGCAGGGGCAAGAAGAAGCGATACCACCATTAGGTCGGGCCTGTTCCCCTACACGGGGACTTTGAGCGAAAAGCTAAGAACACGAAACGAAAACACCTCGAAAATGCTGCAAAAGAATCAAAACATCGTCCCCTGACTATTTTTGACTATCTCGGAATATCCCTCCTGTAGAGGGACGGGCCCGACTTAAGACCACCTCCTCCTCCTCCTCCTCCTCCTCCTCCTCCTCCTCCTCCTCCTCCTCCTCCTCCTCTCCTCCTTCCCCTGCGGGGAGCGCAAACGGTGGGCCCCCTGGTGGTGTGCCCCCCCCCCCCCCCCTCTCGCGCGGGGCATCCCCGGGCCCCGGCCGGAGAGGCATCGTGTGCCTCCTCGCCGGAGGGGTGCCCCCCCCCTCTCCTCCTCCTCCTCCTCCTCCTCCTCCTCCTCCTCCTCCTCCTCCTCCTCCTCCTCCTCCTCCTCCTCTTCCTCCTCCTGGGGAACACCGCCAGACGAACCCGACCTCGCCCCCCTTCGGCTCTCAGACTTGCTTCGAGTGTGCCGCAAGGATAGTCCAGGTGCCGGATTGGGCTGGGACGGTTTTCACCCTAGGTGGGTCTTGCAGTTGCCCGAGAGTCACCAGATGCGCCTTCTGGAGATTTTGACGGTGTTCGAGGTTGAGCCTACCTCGGTACGGCAGGTTCGTGTCGTGTCGACCCCGGCGTTGGTTTTTGACACCGCGGGGATCATTCAACCTTGAACGATCGGCCGTTTCCGCAACGTCCAATCGTTCAACATCGATCGATTCTGGGCCGCCGCCGGCGTTCAACGTTGAACGCCGGCGGCGGGGTCGCCGCCGGTCGACACGACGCGAACCTACCGTACTCATGTTCCTGACCAATGTGGTTTCCTCGGAAAAAAGACGGGCGGGGTACGGCCTATCGGGCTGTTATGTTTCTTCATGAAGCTCTGGAGTCGCCCGAGGCAGCCATGTTGTAAGGCGTGGGAGAAATCGCACGTGTTCCAGTTCTTCTGGGGATCAGGACCTGACACGACGTGTGAGCGAGCTGGGTGGGTCCACAACCTCTTGGGAGCCCACTGTAAGGCCTCGTGGTTCTTCTCGGCATCGGCCCTCCTGGACTTAGCCAAGTTTTACGAGAACGTGGTTCACGAACACTTGCTAGCTGCTGCCAAGAGGTTCCACTTTCCTGTCAGACTTTTGCGAGGGTGCTGCTGTATCTACGCTGGCTTCCGCGTGCTCCTTTGCGGTGGGGCAGCCACGGAGGTACTTTGAGCGAACGGTACAGTAGTAGCCGGTTGCTCAGGAGCGACCACCTTCGCCAAGATGCTGCTTCTAGGCCCGTTGCTGGAGGCACGCGAGCACAGGCACCTGTTGTACATGCGTAACGTCGTGAACGATATCACATTGCAGACATGTGGGCCAACGCTCCAGGTCGCCACGCAGCTGGCAGGAGGAGCGGAGTCGTTGTTCAAGTCATTTAAAGAGTTGCAGCTCCCAGTCGAGTTTAAGAAGTGCGCCTATCTCTGCACCAGGGAGGTGGATCAGCATCTGCGCGGGCTCTGGACATTGCCTGCGACATGCAGAACTGATTCGACCAGGAACCTTGGGACTAACGCTACTCTTGGAGGAGTTCGGAGGATCAGCATTCAGAACACTCGGCTTTCGAAGGCGTCGTCCAGAGCCCGTCGGCTGAAGATTTTACAGAGCGCAGGTGCGGATATATCCATGGTGCATCGTATGGGGCCCACTGCAGTGGCATTATGGGGCTCCAGCGTATCGGGCATCGCACCGACTCGAATGGCAGGGCTCAGAGTCCCACCAGCCCTCTGGGCGTCGGTGGTTTAGGGCGTTTCCTCTTCCACCCCTCCCTCTTCTCCTTCGGGGAGGGGTTTACCCCTCCCCCTACCCCCTCCCCACTGACCTGGACAGGAAGGGCGGGGAGCGGTCAGAGCGTCCAAAACGGCCTCGGCGAGGAAGCCAAAATCATTGATTTTACTATGGTGTTGGCCCCATTTTGGCCTTCTGAGGGGGCAGCGCGAATTAGAGCTCCCCTCTTCTTTGATCGATTTCCTCCACGATGGCCGCAAGAGGCCCCCAGGATGCCCCAAGAGGCCGCAGGATGGCCCCAAGATGGCCCCAAGAGGCCCCCCAAGAGGCCCCCAGGAGGCCCCCAAGAGACCCCCAAGAGGCCCCAAGAGACCCCCCAGAGGCACCCAAGGGGCAAAGATGGCCCCAATAAGCGCCCAGGAGGCCCCCAAAGGCCCCAAGATGGCCCCAAGAGGCCCCAAGAGGCCCCCAGGAGGCCCCAGAAAGGATCCCGAACGGCCCACAGAGGCCCCCCCCCCGAGGCACCCAAGACGCCGAAAAGCCCCTCAGGACGACCCTCTACTCGCCTGGGCGTCGTTTCTGGACGGGCTGGTGGGGATACGCGAAGCGTCTAGAATTTCAGCTGCATCATCTGTGGGGCGCCTACCGCGCGGGGCCTCTGTGGGGCACAGGATTTACACCTACGACCTGGGGCCCAAGATAGACCCTTTGATTGTGTATGTGGGGCATGTGATATTCATGTGGGCTACGGCGATCTGGGAGGCGGCCCCGAATGCGCAAGTTCTGGCCAATACGATGCAGGGTAGCCGTCTTAAGTTGTCTAAGATGGATCAGCCTTGGCGCAGCTGTGCATCACCTTCGGATGTGGCCCTGCTCGGTCTCAGGGGCATAGGCTGGGACTTTAAGGACAGCACCCACATCGTGTCAGACCTCGGAGTCGAGTATAACCTGTTGTAGCTGTCCCCGATGCAAATCCGAGGTGTGGTTAGGCAAGGAACATCTCGGGAATATGATCGGCATGCCCTCAGCACCCAGAACGGCCCGAATGGGCCCCCACTGGTCCCCATCTTCTGGAGTGGCATTCGGAAGCTGACGAAAAGGGTGCATCTTGGACGAAGCATCACCAGAGGTGTCTCCGAGGTCTGGTTTCAGGTGTTCACTGGCCTCAGGCGAGGCTGTGCAATCATGGGCTGCATCCAGACCACCTTTTGTCAGCTCTGCCGAGGAACACCCGGTACGCTGTGGCACCGTCAGTACGAGTGTCCTGCTCACGAGCCTCTCCGCAGAGATCACGTAGGACACAGGCTGAAACAATGTGCAACACGAGTAAAAGACCTGCCCATCCTCAGTGAGAGGTTTGCTCGAGGGATATTCCCAGACCCTCAGGCCCTGTTCGAGCTCCCAGAGGCTTACGAGAGCATTCGGTGGCACAACCGTCCCTCGTCAGGTGTGCTTTCAGAACTCCTGTTCCTCGACGGGTCCGCCAAGTGGGCCAACCTGGAGGGCACGTCTAGAGCGGGGTGGGCTATATGCAGTGTAGATCGGCTTGGGAATCTGATATCGGCGGTATATGGTCTTGTACCCGTGAGTGCCGCCCCCCAGCAGACCAGTAAGGATCGGGAGGACCATGCTGTATATATATATATATATAT